GGGGGGGGGGGTGAAATGTACTTTGACTCCTTTTTGTCGTACAAAAATTGCACCCAAGCAAGACCAGAATGCACCGCGATTATTCATCTGAGGAAAGATGTGATAGGTATTTCGCGATGCATACTCCATCGAGTTTGATGTATGATGATGACAATAGTACTAGTAATAATAATGATATCAAAATATAAAACTATTAATAACCTGCAATATTAATAAAATATTATATTGAAGATAAGTATTATTGTGCAATCACAGACGGTGAAGTACTCCCAGAATACATACGTCGCAGTAAGGAAATCTATGACATGGGACCTGATCACCCTCTACGGGATTTAGTCATCAGTTGCCTTGACAACGCACCACAGGATCGACCAGATGCCAGAGGCCTCGTTGAATTCTTGACCTCATTCAAACTGCCTGAAAAAGTCGATGTACCAAGTCCCGGATCATCGTATAAGTCAGCAGAACAAAGTATTCCGATTTCGCGGGCAACTCCAATGTCAGTTGAACGTGTGATGACGAGGGGGTACGATTATGGCTTCAAAGTTGTGGTGCTTGGGACACCAGGAGTGGGAAAAACCAGTATTATCCAACGCTTTCTGCACCCAGAAATGGAGATGGACGTGTTTCGGCCTACGATTGATCCAGGGGATTATTTTGAAAGACTGCAGATTCGAGGGAAGACTGTACATCTTCACATCGTAGACACCCCCGGGGAGGTCAAGTCACTACATCATAGCGCTCTCAGGACAACGCCCTTGGTCTACAGAGGCGTTAATGGTGTCGCGTTAGTCTGTGATGTTGGTTGTCGCATATCATTTAACCAGTTACCTCAATGGCTTCAGATTGTCCGTGTGAGTATTTATAAAAGAACCTTTAAAACATTTTTTATCGATAATCCGAACTATAAAACCTCTGGGCTGGTCAAAGTCAGGGCATGACTAACTCACAGATTGAACCCTGAAACAACCTCTGGGCTGATCTAAGTCAGGGTATGACTAACTCACAGATTGAACCCTGAAACAACCTCTG